TCCTGCTAAAAAAAAAGTAAGCTTTAAACCAGTGTTGAAATCATTCAGTGTCATTTTCACCAAAGCAGACATTCATTTCCTTCTTCAGAGATGCTGTCAGAATGGTCCCTAGGGAAGAGGGAGAGGTTTCCTGTGATATAGTCAGCCTTTCCCCTGTTGCCAAATAGTGAAGATATTTGTTTTTGAATGCTAGTTAGTATTGAGAGCTTGGTGAGCTGGCCCAGTTCTTCCAGATGCAGAAAGCTTGGAGACCATCAGAATTCCCCGGTAAGATTAGCCTTGACCCTAAATAAGTTATCTCAAAAAACTGAATGAGCAGATGGACATCAAGTGTTTTGACGTGAGCCTGGTCTACACTGCAGTACAAGTGCCATCGTCACTGTTGCCCTCATGGTAGAGGAAGCAAGGCCACCTGAGTGTTGTGCCTGTCTCTGGCTCTCTAATTTGGCGTTGAGGGGCTGTGCAGTCTTAAGCAGTCTTCCCAGCAACTGGGAAGCTCTAGGGAGAGAACTTGATACATACGATGTTTTTCACGCACATCCCTTAAAACTTTTTGAAGCATACAGTTTTTTAAACCTAAGATTTCATCAACATTCTTTTTCAAAGATGTGCACTGTGATGGTGTTGCCTAATTATTTAACCAAAACCCTACCGATGAACCTGAACGCAATTTCCAACGTTTCACTACCAGGAACAATCCTGAGATGAACTTAATTGCATACGTATCTTTGCTGGCATATTTCCTATAACCACTCGGTCCTCAAGATGAATCCTTATAGATGCAGTTGCTGGGTCCAGGATTTTCATATTTGACAGGTTTTTAAATATTTTTTAAAATTTAAAATATTTTATATTTTTTAAACTCTCCTCTAAAGTTGGACCGAGACTTTCACCAATCTGAGCAGTCACGTTTCTTTTCCTGCTCACCCACACCAGGCACAAGAATTTCGCCAGTTGTCACCAGTGCTACTTCTAGTTGGGCTCAGTTCTTGTGCAAGAAGCTGAAAAGTGGAAGGTTTGCTTCAGAAAAATGGGAGGTGGCTCACAAGATCCAGAGGATGCAAAGTCTCGGATGATGGAAACACACAACTTCGGGAGATTTTACTGAGTTAGTTCTCTATTTGTAAATTCTACAACACTGGCATCCTGGTGTCGTTGCCAGAATATGTACTTTGCCGCATCAACCTCGGATAAAAGCTTGGTGCTGCTCCTGACCAAATTACTTACGTGACCTTGGGCAAATGCTTACTTCTTCAGGTTCCTTGTCTGTACAACAGGAGTGAAAACAGCCACATTACAGGTTTGGGTAGAGGAGGGGTAAGTTACAACTCTACGTAAGAGAAAACATAACACTGACTGAAGTCAGTCAGTCACAGAAGCTTATTGTGATATGATATAAAGGTTAAAAACATGTAGAACTAAAAGTAATTTGTTTTAGGAATAAGTTCTTTGAAGAAGTAAATGACTGACGCAAATTCAGGAAATGGTCACTTAGGTGAAGGTGACCAGGGAGGATACTTGTCATATTCTAGGTCCTACCTAGGTCATAGTCACGGAGGTGTTCATTCCATCAAACTGTACAGGTGCTTTACACACATATATTTCACAGAAAGAAAAAAGAGAGAAAACGCCCCCATGAGAAAAGAAACCTCACAAGTGAAGAATCAGAGAAACACTTCAACTGTGTTAAGAAATATTAGTTTTATTTAACCAGTTTTCACAGCTGAATATTTATTCTATAAAAACTTTACAGATTGTACAGTTTATATATAGTTCAAACTACTGAACGAAAAGGTAGGTCCCACAGATGCAAAAATACTGTACCAATCAATCCAAGATAAAGGCAGATTTACACACTGTACAGCTCTCCACGTGGCTGGGGAGGTGGTCAGTTCTAAGTATAAACTTCAAAACTGTACAAAAATAAGGATTTGATTTTATTTCGCTCTTCATACATTCAATATGATTGCAAGCTCAGAAGCCTAATAATAGGCATCTGTAGTCTGGAATCAGTACCCACTCCTGAAGGAATGCACCTGTCTATCCACACAGGGCACTCTTGGACACCATACTGAACTCAGTATATTGTATAGACATCAAAGCAGAGACCAAGAACATTAAATGTTGAATATAAGGTAGTTCTTTTTTGTTTTGAAAGGAGTTTTTGCATTTAATAGTGTGCCAAAATAATTTTAACTTATTAAATATATTCTAAGTGAATCTAAAAATTACACTTTATAAACATAAAAATACTTTATTTTGGTGTAATACATCAATCATATCTGCGAATAGAAAACCAGAACTGTCTATAAAGTAGTATTTCTCACCCAGCAACAAGAAGCACTTATGTAGTTATTTTTCAAAAGGGTCAGAAAAACTATTTAAAACCCACTAAAGACTAACTTATAACTTAGATAGTCGTACTTAAGCTATTCAGTGATTCACTAATACTGCAAAACAAGCTTTCTTCTAGAGACAGTGGTTTCTTCATGTTAACTGGGTAAGAACTGGATGTATTTAAAGAAGATGGGGAAACCAACTGGTATCTCAGCATGAATCCTAAGCATATGTCTGGTTTGGGGGTATGCTCCTCGGTGGATTTTTCATCAGAATTATTTATCCTAGAAGCTACGTCTTTTGATTTAGAGTTTCCCAAATCTGAGGTATCTGTACCTTCTTGGAAAAAAAGCCAGTGCCTCAGATCACTCTGTCTCTCTATGTGGGGCAGGGGAGGCGAGGCTGGCTAATAACCTGTTTAGATTTTGTGTTCCAGAAGGAAGAAATGAGGAAAACCAACATCATTCCAGACTTTTCTGTCATCCCAAACCAATGAAACACAATTCTGCTTTTTATACAGTACTAGCCAAAGAAAACACAAATGAGAGCTTCTAAGAGCAGTCTAGTGCTCACCTTTATACTTTTACACTTGCGTGTATATAAGTATAAAATAATCACGTTTGGATAAAGAAGCTTTGTAGTTATTTATTTTAAAGTTACAGTACTTTTAAAACTCCCCGATAATAAATAGCGTGGATGTTCCCAGTCCTGCTTCCAAGCGTGAGCTACGAGTGAGCTTGTTTCCGGCTGTGAGAATGGATCAGGGCAACTGGAGCCAGTGGTGTTTTTCTGCTCAGCCGAATCCTGGTGTCGCTGGTGGGCAACCCGACACTCAGAACTCATCAATCTTCCTCTGCAAGTACTTTAACATGGAGTCCATCCCTTGCGCCGAACCCCAGATTTTCTTCAGCACCTCACACTCCCTCTCGTTGGCCTGCTCCAGCTCCAGCCTCATGTTGCAGCGCACAAGGGCTTTGGACTCCTCCAGCACCTGCACCGGAAAACAAGCAGCTAGTGAGCAGGGTGCATGCTGGCAGACACGGGCCCCTCGTGCCTCCACAGGTGGAGGCAATCATCCAATTCCAGCAGTCACCTGTTGAAAAGGTTACCAGATATTCTCTCACAATATGTGTCGGGCCTAATACAGGTATAAAGCACACTCCCCACTAGACAGACACTGGGTACATTCTTAACTTCAAAACGGCTGTTAAGCTATTTCAAAGGAGAGTTGGGCTGTTGGCACCTGGGCCTGACCCAGCCTCGGCCTCATGCCACTGCCGCATGCTGGCGTGGACCCCTGAACTGGACATCTGCTCTGCTGATGCCCAGTGAAAGCTCTGAGGGTGCCTGCTGAGGGGATTTTCGAAACAAAATGTAATTTTCATAATGAGGGTTGCTTGTCTGCCTAAGACAGTTCAGATGAGAGTTGTGTCAGTTAATGTTAAACATTTCACATCCTGTAATTTGCCAAATGAAATTTTGTTGGAAGACTATTATTCAGCATTTAAAAAAAATTTATTTGTATGATTTTTTTTTTTTTTTTGAGAGGGTCTTACTCTGTTGCACAGGCTGGAGAACGGTGGTGCGATCTTGGCTTATTGCAACCTCCACCTCCTGGGTTCACGTGATTCTCCTCTTGAGTAGCTGGGATTACAAGTGTGCGCCACCAAGCCCAGCTAATTTTTGTATTTTTAGTAGACACGGGGTCTCATCATATTGGTCAGGCTGGTCTCAAACTCCTGAGGTAAAGTGATCCGCCTGCCTTGGCCTCCCAAAGTGCTGGGATTATAGGCATGAGCCACCATGCCTGGCCTATTCAGCATATTTACTCAACAAAAACTTAGGAGGTCAAACACAGAGGCTCACACCTATAATCCCAGCACTTCAGGAGGCCAAGTCAGGTAGATCAACTTGAGGTTAGGAGTTCAAGACCAGCCTGGCCAACATGGTAAGGCTCTGTCTCTACTAAAAACACAAAAATAGCCCAGGCGTGGTGGCACGTGTCTGTAGTCCCAGCTACTTGGGAGACTGAAGCACAGGCATCACTTGAACCCAGGAAGCTGAAGCTACAGTGAGCCGAGATCACCCCCCACTGCGCTCAAACCTGGGCGACAGAGTGAGACTCTGTCTTACAAACCACCACCGCCGCCACCACCACCTTAGGCCCACTGAGGAGAAAGTGGGGAGAGGCTAATAATGTGACTTGAGAGGTTTTGGAAACAGTAAAGAATTGTATCCATGTTGGTTGTTGTTGACTTTCACAGGACATTTGCTAACTTGCTAACTTTTCAGACTGAAGTCCATTTCTGTTGTTCTTGAGTATTTGCAAAGGGAAGGCAAGGCGAGCATAGGGGCAGTAGTGGCAGGAGTAGCTTCTGGTGGGACTTCAAGGGAAGGTGCTCTGCTGAGAACAAACGTGAAGGACTTAGGAATAATGGCAAATTTGTGGGTTCTCTGGGGGAAAAGGTTCTATTTTTTAAAAAGTAACGTGTAACAGAAACAATTAGACGTACAACTGGGTTGCACGAGGCAAGCTCCTTAATGCGAACCATCACTTCCTGAGTGAACGTCCCGGGCCAAAACACCTGGGAGACCAGGCCCTTGCCACACGCCTCCTGCGCCGTCAGCTTCCGCCCGCTCAGCAGCATCTCATTTGCCTGCAAAGAAGAAGAGTGGATGTAATATGAAATGGGGCAGGGGGCCAGTGGGGAAGACCCATCCCTTAAAATCCACACTAAAGAGAGACATTTGCAAACAACAGCCCCACGGGGAAAATGCGGCACATGGAACAGACCCTGTGCAAAGTGGAGTCAGCTGGGCAGTGGGAAAGTGATACATCGGGCTGACTTTTTTCTTAAAAAGGAATGAAAAAAGGCGTATCTTACAATCTATTATAGAATCACAGGGACTCAATAAAGAAATCTAAGAGAGAAAAGGTCTTTTTGCCATTCGTTTAAAAAGTTACCGGTACAACTTCCTCTCCTCCACCTGCCCTCCTCCCCCTAATGCCAGCCCTTCCCAAGCATGAGCTCTTTTAACACACAATGCAATCCAGGAAAATCAGCATATGCAAAGTTAGGCAATTTATAATTTTAAGGATTTGAGCCAGGCATAGAACTCCTACCAAACATTTTCTTTATCTGGGAAGCCAATGGTGACTTGTTTTTAATATACAGAGAAAATATTCTGATGGCAGTGACTGTTTCTGCCAGAGTGTACCTTAGAGGCTGCACTGTATTGCTTGGATATGAAAAGACAGAACTATCCAGGGCTTGAATGTGTCCAAGATTACCATGTGAGGTAACTGAGAGAGGCTGGCGATAGTTACCTCACACGGCTCAATGGAGAAAGCTAACGTTAGTTATTCTTTAAAAAAAAAAAATGTGTAGATATGAAATTAATTTTAACCTTGTCCTGGATTCTAGATCACTTTTTATTTTTTAATACATGAGACTTAACTAGATCACCTTTAAGGTCTCATCACAACATGTATGGATTTTACATCATCCAAACGATAGGCTCGCAGATGCCGAGATAAGGCAGGGAGAGGTGCATGCATGTTTGATGAAGAAACTCCACACTGGCCTGATGGGACAATGTCCGGTCTGTCATTTATCTTGTCTGGTTAACCTTCCTAACAACTCTGACGGTCACAAAGCCTTGACCATGAGCTCCTGCGGCTCTGGTAAAACACAATTTTGGTAGGTGGCTTCCATTTCCCAAAGAGGCAATATCACGGAAGAGAAAAGGCTCTGATGTCACTAAGACACTGTAAGACGCCCATACGCTTCTTGCCAATGTCTTGATGCCATTTACTGTATGTGAAACACATGGCTTGGAGTGCATACAGGCAGAACCAGCAAAACAAACACGTGGCTGTCTCACCGCCCCTCCCACAAAGGCAGAGGCTGGAAAACAAGACCAGGGACAGGCTTCTCACAAGGGTTTGCAAGGTTCTTAATGATCTCCCAAATTGGAGTCTGCCATTGGAGCTACAACTTGGACCCAATCACGAGTGTTTGAAGAGTCTGGAGAAGCTCTATGAAATCCCTGAACGGAATAGCTTCTTCTCAGTGAAAAGATGGTCCATAAACAAAGAAGAAACGTGACCTGACTGTTGGCAGTTGCAATGGCTCTTCTAACAGCAGACCCAAATGCAGCAGGAAGGGGAGCGGGGCTCCAGGTGTGCTGCCGCCGCCGCAGGAGGTGCTCCGTGCTGTGGGGTTTTCCTTTCCTAGACCATGTTTCTTTCATTCTCAGCATAGAGTGAGGACACTAGAGCCAAATCCCTGAAGTTAAGCATGAAGTATGTTCTCAGGACCAGCTTAGCAGAGCCTTAGCTCAGGCAGCAGAGGCAAGTGACCCCACCAAGCCTGACGCTTGGCTGAATCACAAAGTGGAGGGGTCCTCAGTTTACTCTCCAGCCCCTGCTGCAGGGCCCTGGCTGTCTGCACCAGTCAATTCTTCCAACTTTATTTTCTGCCACGTGGAGGTCAATTTACAGCCCCACCACTGTTCTCTCCTGTCTCTCTCTTTCATCCCCCCTTCTTGACTCTCTTGGTCCTGATGCCAGCCAAGAACGACCCTTCTCTCTGCTCAGCACTCACTCGCGGTCAGTCTTTCTCCCTATCCCTGCTGGCTCCACGCCTGCTCATCCCTGGAGATCCTTTCCCTACCTTTGGTGTTCTTCATTCCAGGTGGCTGAAAGTACAGGACAACCAAGGGCATTTCCCAATTTACTCAAGAGCAAAAATGACAGGGCTGACTCTAGGTTGTTAATGCTTGCTTACTTAAACACGGCCAGTGAGCTGGTCTGAACAATAGTCACCCAAAAAAACTAAAAAAAAAAAAAAAAAATCCTCCCTTATAGGATTAAATATACTCAGTTTATGTGAGCACATTCTTATATACACTATTTTCAGTAGTTTTAAAATGAGAGGTGTCAGACTTCTACCCAAATAAGATTCACACAGATGCGGTCAGTGGGAACCTGACCAACCAACACGTTCTGAGATGGCCGAGTGCACAGGGACTCCCTGTAGACAACCTACATCACCCCATGGTGGGGTCAAAGTTGTCCAACTATTAAAAAAGGTTATCACGTAACCATCCAGAGAAATGAGAAATGCCGGAGGAAAGTGAAACAGAGACATCTTTGCAGGCATCTGTCTGGTCAGAGTACAGCAGGAGGGGCGGTGAGGAAACGGGTCCAGTATGAGCAGAGTGGATCCGGGGGTCTCCAGCCTTATGGGGACAGCTGTGGCACAGGGTACCACCTACTTCCTCAGGCCAGTCTCTGAAGTCCCCAAGAGGCGGCTCTCAAGGGTGAGCTTGGGGTGAGGCCCTGAGGCACCTGCAGGGCATTCTCCAGCTTTACACCCCAGCAGGCCCTCTCCTGACAGCTCTAAGACTTCCACGTGGGAGCCTGTGGGTGTCAGATGGCACCATCCTCTGCGCACTCCATGAAAGTCTATTGGGCACTAGGAGGGCTAAAGTGGAAGAGACTCCTCGGCTGATTTTTACGTAGCCCGCATTGAAGGAAACGAGAGGCCACACGGCCGGTGTCATTTGCATGTTCTTTTTATCCTGATGACGTGATCCCTTTAGCTTATCCTCCTGGCAGAGCTCTGCATATGCAAAGTGGGGGAAAACCACACTTGTCCCAGTCTTGCCTCAGGCTGCTGAAAGCTCAAATACACCAAAGGCTCATGAAAGGATCGACATCATTTACATCATTTGCATAGTTACTTTCAACCAGAGTTGTCATAACACAAGTCACCTGAACAGCATTTATTCACTTTCTGTAGAGAGGCTTCATCAAATACTCTGCTCAGAAAGTGTAGAATTCACACTGAGTGAAATGCGGGCTCTTTGCTCTTGGGTCAAAGCAGCGTTTCTCCCCCAGGGCACTAGGGACATTCTGGGCTGGACTGCTCTTTGGCGTGGGGGCTGTTCCGTGTGCTACAGAGGGTGCTGAGCAGGGCTGTCCTGTGTGCTATGCAGAGTGCTGAGCAGCACCCTGGCCTCTGCTAATGGCCATCTCCTCATATGTGACATCCAACTGTCTCCAGACATTGCCCCTCTGATGTGTCCCCCAGGGGGGATGTGGGGATGGGTGGAAATTGCCCCAGCTGAAAACAGCAGCTCAAGAGGCACCAGTACATTTGCAGGGGAAGCAAAAAGTAAAGATCTGTCAAGACTTGTAGAGTGGGAGAAACGCCACTGGCCGGAGAGCTGGAATTCGTTATGAAATGATGACTTCAAGCCCCATGGACCTTTCTGGGCATGGTGAACTCTGAGACCTCTACTCCCCTCCCCAGCAGCATTCAGCCCCAGAGCTCCACTTCTAAAATGCCTTTGGCCAAAATGTGCCTGAACATCAAGTTGGTTGAATATTTGCCCCACATCTGCACCGACACCACGCATCGACACAGATCATACGGTGGGAGAGGTCAGAACCCCAGATCTCAATCTCCTCTAGAAAAGTAACTCAAAATGAGCTTCACAAGATGTCCTGGAGAATGAGGATTCTTTCCTGCCAGGACAGGGTAAGTGGCAGGACACAGTCTAGCTTACAGTAATTGCCACGATGAACTTATTTCACTAACAATCACTTTTTACCATGGGAGTCCATCCGGTGGTGTCGGGAATGTGCAGCCTGGTGTAAAGGACAAAGCAAACAACGTGGATAAACCACCCGCGTTCCCAGCCCAGCGAGCTGCCTGCTGTGGGAAATGCTGCCAGCAGGCAATGGGAAGCCCCTCAGTTCCTCCCCATGGACCGCTCTTCCCAGGGCCGCCTGCCCCACGGTCAGCTGCATGGGGGTACCTGCAACCGCTGCGAGGCCACGTGGTTCCAGAGCTCCCTGCCAGTTAGCTCTGCCCAGTCCTGCTCCCTCTCTGCCCTTCCATGGATGTTGGCACCTAATCTACCAAACCCTGCTTCCCAAATCCACCTCAGCTTCCAGAGAAACTACCTTGTGATGGGGGAAGTGGACATGAGGGTGAGGAGAAGGATTTTGAAACTGCATGGCTCTCCAGCTGGCAACGAGGATGCCCCCACCAATAGGTCAGGTGGAAAAGCCGCAGCACCTGGCACAGGGGGCCAGCCACGTGCTAACGCTCTTGCAGGTGAGGGTGAAAGCAGAGGGGCAGCTGGTAGCAAGCAGCAGAGAGGGTTGAGACTCAGCCTTGGCCCCTGGACTTGTCAGCAAGCGTGGTCCAGCTCCACCCGTAAATCAGCCACCAGAGGAAGGTCAGCTTGTGAGGGGTGGGGAGGCACCCTATAACTTGGTATGGGTGCTTCTGGGTAAATGCCCCTAACTCCAGCTTCCTCTGACCCCCTGAACCTAGAGACATGGTCCACCCATCCCTATTAGATCCCCCTTGCTAGAAGATAAGGCAAATACCTCTCAGCAAGTCAACACTGCCCCCCAAAACCTGCCCTAACCCTTTTCCTGGCATCAGGCCTGTAACTTGCCTCTTCCCTGAAAGGGGTTTCAAGACCTAGCCAGGGGTGCAGGTGGGAGCTGTGAGAAGATACGAGGGCCTGGATTCTCAGGGTGCCTACCCCGGGGCCCGACCACAAGTTGGATAGGAGGGTTCACTGACTTGGGAGCTCTCCTGGGATAATGATTTACCTACCCCTGGAAGGTTCCCAGGAAAGGTGTGACCTGGCTGCTGGGTTGGCTCCTGGAAGCCTGAGGGAGGTGGGGGCCCTGCTGAGTGAGGTTGAAAGGCCAGGGCTGGCTAGGGAGGGGTGGGACAATATGCATATGGGGCCTGTGGTCAGTGCCAGAGGGAGGAGGGCAGCGCAGCCTGCGGGACCATCCACAGCAGGGAAGCATAGGCCTGGAATGCTGACTGGGCCTGGGAGAGGCAGAGCGCCTGACCGCGGGACCCCACGTGACCACATGTGGGAAGTGACCACCACGAGCTGAGTTCCATCAGCCCCATAGGCGCAAGGTCAGGCAGGGACCGTGGTGGACACGCAGCTGGGCCTGGCAAGCCCCAGAGGGCACAGGCAGGCAGCCTACACCCCTGCGTCACCACCAGACCTCTGCATTGACGGCTCTGCTGTACCCGTGCCTGCCTCAGCTCACACCTACAGCTATGGGGGGGGGGCTCCCCATGACTGAGTGTGGCCTGTGTGGGGGTCGGCTCACTGGGTAGGTGGGCAATCCAAAAAGGGGACAGCAAGTTCACCAGAGCCTCATCCAGCAGGGCTGGGAAGAGAACATGGTGAGGAAAATGCCCCCAATGGCAGACACACACGGTCACCCCCTGGTGTAGGAGGAAAAGTGGATCAAGGTTAGACTAACACTAGCCCCCTAGAGTCCTGTGGCTGAGTCACATACAGCATCTGCAGCAGCTGCCAGCCTGCTCAGGCATTGGCACGGCCTGAGAGGTACCAGTTTGGAGGTGGCTCCATGATGGTGGGCAGCATCTTCTGATTTGTAGCATATACAGTACAAAGACCTTTATATGGAAGGACACGTGGCCTGGGAAACGGGGTGGAGGCAAGTCCTGCTTGGTCCTCCCCGATCAACTAGAGCAGTTAAGTGGACAAGTGCAGCGACTCTGAGCTGGGCACAGCGAGCAGGCCAAAGAGCTCTCGGGGGTGAGTATCAGTATGAGGGCGGCCACTGAACAGAGGTGGGAACCATGGGTGAGGGGATCTAGCCTGAGGAGTGAGACGGTGAGGAGCAGGGCCACTCAGAGACCAGTGCGGCACTGGGGGCTGCAGTCTGGCCTATCCACCTTCCTGCTCCTCTCTTGCGTTCCTTTATTTTAAATGTTCTGGTTTTCGAATACATTTAGATGCACAGAACAACGACTAAAGTAGTACAGCGTTCTCATATACCTTCACACAACTCTCCCTAGGTTAAATGTCACATAACATCTTAGGATGACTGAAGCCGCTGACAATGTGCTATTCAGTCAGCAACAAACACAGTATGAATTTCACCAGCTTTCCCACTCTTGTCCTTTCTTTGGTCCAGGAGCCCACCCAGGGTCCCTGATGTTCTGAGCTGTCATATCCCCTTGGCCTCCTCCAGTCTGAGACGGTTCCTCAGTCTTCCCACGTCTTCTCCGACCTCGGCGCTCGGGAGGAGTGCTGTGCGTGTCTGCAGACTGCCCTCCAGTCTGGGCCTGACGTTCCTCCTGATGAGCCTGAGCTGCTGCACTTCGGCAGGAATCCCACACAGTGATGAAGGCTGCGTTCCCCTCAGTGTCTCCTGTTGGCTTCTGTCTTATTTCTGTGAACTCTGATCACTCAGCAAGGTGGTACCTGCCAGGTTTCTCCACTGTAAAGTTACTGTCTTTCCCACTACAGATAATGAGAGGATGCAAACATCCTTTTTCTCACCACGCTTTCACCCACTGATGATAACATTTCAGGTTCTGGCCTGCAAATTATTGCTGCCTAACCCTCTTCCTCAAAGTTTCTCCCAGAAAGAAAGTGCCCTGGAACCTGAAGGAGCTGACCCCCAAAATGTGCATGAAGGGGTGGATCTGAATGGCACTGGGGTGAACTGTGGTGGACATGGAACTGGGCTGCCATGATCCCTCCTGGGGAGGCCTGGCTGCCTGGCTGCAGGTGCTGCTGTTAGCGGACAGCCATAGGGTGCCTTCAGGGATGCCCTCGGCTGCAGGGAGCCACCTCGTTCGGGGCACAACGCTTCCCGTGCATCCCATGTCCAAGGACAATGGACACAGTATCACTCTGATCCATTCCTCTGTCCAGTCCTGCTTCCTCCCCCATCCCTTCTATAGGTAGTGACTACTTGCTAATTCTCCATGTGCCAAACTCATCTCAGTGGCAGCTTCTGGAGAACCTGACCTGTGACATCACCTCCTGCCCTATATCAAGGACTAGGGAATGAGATGTGAATAACTGCTTGATAAATCACAAGCTACAATACAGACACAAACTATTATAATGAACGGGAAATAAAAGCACACAATTATATGGAAAACAACCCTCTAATCCTATGTAACTTTGCTCCCTCTTAAAATTGCCTTCTCTTAAAAGTGCAGCTTTTAAGTTATTTGGTGAAGAATTAATTTCGATTGCAAATTGTTGGTTGGGTTACAGACTGGATATTGACTAACAGTAGATATCAGTGAGAATTATGCAAAGTGGTAGGCTCCTCAGTGAATGAAGACTTTCTCTAGGGAATGATGCAAAGGCAGTGTCAACAACGTCTATGACCCCACATCTGAATGACAAGATGCAAAGTCCCCACAGAATGACACACTGTACAGCTTTAGAAAAACAATAACCAAAGTAGATTTCTTCAGGAAGCTTTCTAGAATGATTTTTTTTTTAAAGGTACTCACAGATGCTCCTCCCATTATCTTGGGAAACATAACGGTAGAACAGCCATCTGGACTCTGTCCGAAGGTAGTATAGGGTGTTTGAAACCAAGCCTTTTCGTTAGCCCAAACCACATCACAAAGAGGCAATATAGACGCTCCTAGCCCAATGGCCGGGCCATTGACTGCTACAATAATGGGCTTCTTAAATTGAATGAAAGTATTCACGAAGTTTCTAAAATGAAAAATAAATGGGGAATTACTCAAAACATTGCATATCTGAGCAAAGGAAAAGTCTATTATGGAATTCAATTTACCAAGATGTAAACGCTGCGGAAATCATAAAGACTTGAGATTTGTTTAAGGCCTTCCCCAGCAGTTGTGGACCCTAAACTTATTTACTATGTGTCGTAAAGGTTTGGTGACAGCCTGAAGTCCACGCGTGTGGTAGCTGTCGCTACGGGACCTACGTGAAGGCCATGGGCAATATGCAGCCATGAGCCATGCTGGCATTTGCAGGTAGCTCTCGGGCTATATGAATAACATATCTGGTTCCCCAACCTGTCTTCCCTCAAAGACACAGGAGCCCAATATATATTCTGGACTTCATAAGACCAATCAAGAAGCTGTCGCGGAGGAAATCTGGCCCAGGGCATACTATGACTGCCTGGTGTTAAGTGGACAGTGGTGGATGAGGGGTCACAAAAACTCTGGGATCTGGGTCTGGCCTTGGCTCACAGTTTCAGACAGCTCGCTGATTATTTGGCAATAATTGCTATTTCCTGAGCTTACGTGAAGTGGACTGAAGAGGACTACGGAGACAAGTCTCACAGGCTGGCTCAAGACATGAGACCCGCAAGCAAGAAGAGCAAACAGCACAGGGCCCAGGCCTGTACCCACATCCTGCTCCACCGTGGGCTGGAGGATGCGGCTGCAGCAGGGGTTTGGAGGGACGGTGGGGTCAGGAGTGGGGCAGCCTTTGCCCCAGATGGAGGTTTCATAAATCAAGCAAATGCTATTCTGGGATTTGCTTTAGATCAGGCTGGAAAAGTAGGCTGCTTTTCAATTTAGGGTAGGTTGGTGCCACACCACTTTGGGAATGTGCATTTTCTTCTCAATACTAGAAGCTGATTTTAGGCTCAGAGGTTGTTTCTTGTTATGATTTCACACAGTAGAGAAAAGGATAAACACAAGATAGTCCCTCTAGTGCAGGCTGAGTTCTAGATCAGAACTGCAGAGTAAGTACAGCTTTTGATTTGCTGGATTCTAAATCTGACCCCCATCTTTAATACTGAAAATAGCAACCTAGATGCTCTCTACAATTCAGCAATCTAAAACCACAGCAATCTGTTCAGATCTTCTCTGAAAATCATGACTCAGCATCACCCGCTCAACTCCCCGAGATACTGATGGATGACACCTATTTTTGGTGGGGGCAGGTTGGGGAGGTGAAGAGGGGTGTATGTGAACAGGAGAGTGAGGAATTGGGTAGTTTAGCTGCTGAACCTCAGTTCTAGCCCCAAGATTTGTGGGATCTTTGCACCAATCAAGAATTAACTCAAATGAATGAGTTACACTAAGTCTCTCTAAATGAGAGAGCCTGAAGCATTGTTAGAAAGATCACACCAGGGTTTAATGATACAGAGTGTCAGATAACCTTTTAAGCAGCTCTTGAAATAGCCTAGAAGAACTACATGAAGCTATTTCAGTTGTGTCATCTTTTGAGGAGTTGGGGTCGATGACACAAGATGGAAATACATTTCCTAGGCCCAGTAACTGATGACTCGTGAAAAGGTAAAACTGCTGAACTGTCTCCATGATAAGGAGCAGCTGTTTCCAAAATCTGAGTAGCTCTACTTTCATCTACCGCATGGAACAGAAGGCAAAATGTTATAGCAGTTGCCCAAGCTGACATCTGGAAACCACGAATGGGGCGATAAATTAACATAAAAGAAATGTTCAAAATCAAGGCAATAAAAAGATAATTCCATAAAGAAACAGTAAAAGGAATTATTTCATATATCCTTGCCCCCCCCACCCATATATTGTATTAAAAACCCTGCTTCTAAAATATTAATAGATACTGAGAAGTCAAAACTTAGATTTTGAATAGGCGGAAGGCTTTTTTTGGAACTGAAATTTTATTTTTTGTTTTGCCTGGAATGGTGACTTCACCTAACGCTGGTGGTTCTCTCTGGGTGGGGTATGAATGAGCCAGCATGCTCTGGAGCAAAGAGCACTTTCCCTTTTCAGGGAATGGGAACTGGGCATTCCGAATAGTGAGCCCTGAGATACCAGAAATGAACATGGTCCACACAGAGACTCACTTTGTTTTAAAAAGGAACACCTTTACAGAAATGCTTTTTTTGCCTAGTGGAAACTTCCCAGGACCATGAAGGCTTAACCAAAGAAGCTGCAAATCAAGGCTCAAGGCACCAGAGGAGAGGCAGGAGCTGCCTTCAAGCCTGGGACAGTCCTCTCCCAATCAGCCCCCGCTTCTGTGGGCTTCAACCAAGTGTGTTTTATACTTAAAATCAAAACATATGAACACTCAAATGTGTGCCATGCCACGTACTGAATTTAAATTCATTTCTTTGGAATTATGAACTTAATTCAAGGCTGTTGTTGGGTATGGCAGGGAAGGAGGCTGGTATTTGCCACAAAATTAGTCTAAAAAGACTTTATAATTGAGCCAGGTGTGGTGGCTCACGCCTTTAATCCCAGCACTTTGGGAGACTGAGGCAAGCGGATCACAAGGTTAGGAGTTCGAGACCAGCCTGACCAACACGGAGAAACTCTGTCTCTACTAAAAATACAAAAAATTAGCCGGGCGTGGTGGTGTTGCCTGTAATGCCCGCTATTCGGGAGGCTGAGGCAGGAAAATCACTTGAACCCAGGAGGCGGAGGTTGCGGTGAGCCGAGATTGCGCCATTGCACTCCAGCCTGGGAAACAAGAGCGAAATTCCATCTTAAAAAACAAACAAACAAACAAAAAAACTTTATAATTAAACAAAACTCTTCCTTTAAAGTGCATTTACAGTTTGGAGACATCAAACAGTTGGAAAATCACTAAGATTTCGGGACTGTCCATGGACTGTTTGGGGAGAAGGAGGCAGCGGGGACCTGTAGCGTGTGCTGCCTTTCCAAGGCTGAGGTCTTCTCTCATTTCAGGGAAGGTCTTCCTTCATTTGAAGGACTGAGTGGGGTAAAGGTCAGGGTGTTGGGGTATGTTTACTGGCTCACTTTGTTCTCTCCTAAATCCTCTTGCCTCTGGGGCACTGCTTGGGCAGGGCCCACCCGACTCCCTCTGTGGGAGGAAGAAGACGCCTCGCTTCTGGGGGTTGACACCCAGTGGCAGTTATTAGTTCCTGCAGACTTCAGAAGCCTAATGTTGTCAATGGACTTGAAATAATTTTGTTTTGATCACTAATGTGCTGAATACTTTTGTTACAATTACTCTGCAAACTGGAAACCACCCATCCTTGTAACAAAGTTAGCTGCTCTAGATGCCTGGCCGTCTAATATGAATCCTCATCTTCCTGTTTCCCGCTTTTCCTTTGGAAACTTGCTATAAATGAAGTGCTTTGCCTCCAAGTTTTAAGGAACTTGAGACAAGACACCAGAGAAATGAAAGATATACACAGGAAGAGCTTTTATCCATATAAAAATTAATTTAAATGCAAATAAGAAGAAGAAAGGTTAAGTGAATCTGGTGTAACTATTTTTCTGATCTTGACAGAGTATATTAAGGAAAATTCACATTGACAAAAATATAGTCACATAAAGAAACAAGTGGGTTTTCCTGGAACAGGACTTGACTCTTCACAAGACTATCAATCCAGCTTTTCGTGGGGAGTAGGGAGAGTGGAGTGAGCAGGGAGCTGATGAAAATGAATTTTTAAAGTTACATAAAGTTCAACAAAGGAGATCCCCACTTAAACCTAACTTGATCTAGCTTTCCTCTACTTTTACTAATCCCAACACCACAAGCCCACAGTCCCTGTCCAAGGGAATTCAACGCTGAAGAGAGGAGTGAACGGCACTTGGCGAGGCACCGGCAGGGCTCACGAGTGGAGCCAGGGAGAAGTCTACACGGGACAACGGAGTCAGGACCCAGAAGGCACTGGCTGACACATCTAATTTTCTTATTACCACAGAGCTACCAAAAAGCATAACATTACGTGTACATCCAGAGTGATATCATGGAGAATATACACTGTGACCATATGAGGCATGGTGGTTTGTATTTTAAAAATAAAAGTTAAGTTCATGGAATTCATCCTGAATGGATAATAATGAAAATGTCTTAGAGGGGCTGAGAGTCAGACAAGGAATTATGACATACATCAAGTGGTTTAATCTTAAACTAAAGAACAACATGGTCCCACCTAGTGTACCACAGGGATGAAATCCTCTAGATCAGAAACAATACTTAATAAGATTAGATTATAAAATTTCAAACTGCTTCTGTAAAAAAACCACACATCATATGACAGCCTGTAAAAGGTACCATTCAAGGATTAAGGAATAGATAACCTCCTAAACACATGTGTACACGGTATGAGAAAATATAAAAATCCTGAAAATAATTAAATATGTTAGGAAAGGCAAAGGCAATACCCTGCAACCCTGAGGTGTAGGTTCCAGGCTCCTGCCATGAGGCTGCTTGGGCAGTGCCCATCAGAGCCATCTTGGTGTCAGCCAAGGAAAGACGTCCCTGCCCATCCCAGACTCACCAAAACAGAACAAAGAGCTCCCCACCAATCCTGCTATGCAAGCTCTAGAAGGGTTTAGGCGCTAGAAAGCTCAGTGTCCCAAGGAAAGTGCTCAGTTAGAGCCCAGTAACTATCCAAAGTAGTTCAACTTCAGCCCTCCAGAAATCTGGGATTTTGGAAAAGATCCAACTTACTTTGTTGCCAGTTTGCAAGTCTACATTTCTTTCATTTTTCATCCTTTGTAAGTTGAAAAAGGCAAGCACAAAGGATTTTGGGGGTCTACCTGGGGATATGTCATTTTAGGGAGGAGGGTAGAGAAGCACAGCCAACTTTCTGGTTGGAGACTAGGTTTCATCCACTTCAAATAAAATCCATCTCCAAAAAATCAGACACTTCTAATTATACATAGAGTGATTAGCATGACAAATGAGGGGATATGCTATCAGCAGAATTACGTAGTTTTAGGGAAAGTTTTTCTTACTCTTATCATATAGCAGAGGAAAATCCAACAATCAAGGAAATAGAAATATCTCAAAGTCATATTGTCACATGTAATAACAGAACTAAATTTATATTATTTGTGTGTATATATGAAAGAAATATTCAAAAATGCTTATATCAAGACATCTATTGTACATCATGGTGACCACGGTTAATGTAACTTATACTTGAAAATTGCTGAGATTTTAAGTGTTCTCACCACACACACAAAATGCATGTTGATTAGCTTGATTTAACCATTCCACACTGTATCTGTGTTTCAACACATCATGTTGTACACTAAAAGTATATACAATTTTTATTTGTGAATCTAAAATCTAAAAAATTAAACTGAAAACAACAACAACAAAATATTTAGAACAAGGTTGGGGAAGACATATAACAAATGAACGCTGGATACTGTGAGGGGTGTGGGGGAGAAGGAGGACTTGTACTTTTTGTTCCCTACTGTCTAGTTCTCTGTGCAATTGGAACTTAGGACGCACCTGACAAGAATGGGCACTGCTTGTGCTAAAAGGAAAATAAAAGAAAAAAAAAAAAGAAAAAAACCTTTCCATGTGATGTTATGGAGCTAGCTTGTCATATAAAGGCTAGACAATTTACTTCTCACAGTCAAGCAAACTGGAAGCGATCTTTATTTAACGGCTGAGGATAGAACATACTCATGGCACAAATAATAGGAACTGCAGCTATACATTATCATGTGTTCTAACCATCAGAACACTCCCTGAATACTTTCTGGGTTTAAACCAACCTTGAAATCAGCTATTTGCCCAAGGCAAGTAGTAATTTATGCCAGGCCCATAGACAAGACAGAAAAGAGACGACTTAATTAACTTTGCTGCTCGTGTCTCTCCATGTATGTGAAGATTTTATTTTCGAGGCTTGGTCAGGCCCATTCTATCAGGATAGGTACACCAAAAACAAAACACCCAACCGACGTTTAAAAAACATCATTTTTACATACCTGATAGCTTCTGCCATTTTAGTGCTTTCTCTTTTCCTGTCATCTGTCAAACGTCGTATAAAATAAATAAAGTCAAGTCCACAACAGAAGACGCTGCCAACGGCGCTGAGCAGTACAAGCTTGCTGTCATCGGCAGCGGCCGTGCTCAGAGCACTCTGGACTTCTCTCATTACCTGAAAGTCACCAGAAGTTAAAGTGGCAAAGAATATTTTGGGTTGGTGCGTAGTGGTTTAATCAAGGCTCACTGCACTCTGGAATTCCTGGGCTCAAACAATCCTCCCGCCTCAGCCTCCCGAGTAGCTGGGACTACAGGCTTGTGCCATCATGCCTGGCTAATTTTTCAACTTTTTTTGTAGAGACAAGAGTTTGGCTATGTTGTCCAGGCTGATCTTCAACTCTTGGGCTCAAGTGATCCTCCTGCCTCGACCTCCCAAAGTGCTGGGATTACCTGCATCAGCCACCGCACTTGGCCTAAAAGCACTTTATTATTGAATAATCTGCATCTATGAAAAATGCATCATAGCCGGATAGTTACTGATATCTACCATGATTTTAATTAATTTGCACAGGTCTCATTTTCTGTAACTAGAGATTGAGATGCCGGGGATGGAGTAAAATATAACCACATAACTAGCGTATAATTAAAAAGACATGGGAATCTACATTATCTTAGTATTTCTGTAGTCATTGTGGCTCTTAGATAAGGCAAGTTACTTATTACATCACTGGGCATTTCTCCAGTTTGGACAGCAGGTGGCACATTCAAACCAGTTGAAAGAAACTTGTTCAGTTCTACCGTTTTTTGTTTTGTTTTAAAAATCACCCTATTACACTTGGGACAGAAACTCAATAGCTTGGTGTGTAAGTGTGTTAAGTCCAAGCACATGAGCATGGACAGGTAATTTTAGGGCATAAAATCATTTTAAATGATCTCTATGATGCATTTAAAAATAACCAATAAAGGGACTCTGCAGTCTAAAAATGTACCAAGGACCAGCTTTGACCTGCTTTGTTATGTGACCCTGGACAAATGCACACACTTTCTGTAGTTGGGTTTTCTTGTCTGGAAAAAAAAAAACTCAACCTAGCTACTCACAAGTGGAAAACAAACTACTAGGCTTTAAAATTTTGGTAAGGTATAGGTTAGGTTCAAATACCCCCAACTCCACAAACTTCAGAACATTCATGTTCTAATCTTTCCAACAACCAGTTCTGGAAAGCTGACTTACTAGGCACTATCAGCAATAAGCATGTGTGGAAATCCCTGTAGCTGTGTGATCTGCTAGAACCTCTGATGATATCTGGGGACTGGCCAGATGATACATATTCTGATGGGACTGAGATCCCCAGGGCATTTAAATTCCTTCTGCACAAAGAACCCTTTAAGAATCTGATGAAAGCTAAAGCAAAGCGCGTGCACACACATTTTCCATGTGCCTTCATGGAGGCCCCGTGTCCGCCAGATGAAGAGCTTCCAGGCAGGAGGTGAACCACAGAGGCACAGAGCCCTGGGTGCCATCACAGCCCACACCCAGGAGAATGGGGATGGATACTCAGCACACGCCAAGCATCCTGACTTCATGGCTGTCGGAGGTGTGACAAGGAGCAAAGCCCGAAACTTCCCCTCTGTTCCCTCCCGTCCAGTGGGCATTGGAAGATGGCCCAAAAGGAAAAGAAAGAGCACAGGAAGAGCCAATGCTGCCAAGCAGGCCCGGAAATCAGGCAGGGAGAAGCGTGAAGCCCACGCCAGCCCAAGAGCGCCTCTCACCTCTGGATTTAGTGAGTTATTCTCTGAGGACTTTGTGGATAACAAGATGTGGGTGAAGCCATCCTGCTTCCTGACCACAATATCTCTGTATCTGTAGGCACTTTCTGTTTGCCTCACGCTGAAACGCAATCGCTTGTCAAAAGGCTGGTCTCTTCTGTCGTCAATAAATTTCCTTTTGCTGGTGGTCACTCCTGTAACAGATGTCTGTATGTTGGTTGTCCCATTGGCTGTTAATGCATCCATGAACGGCGATGTACCTGCCGAGAGTTTGAAATCACAGTGGTCTGTGACGTCCCACCACCACTTCACTCCCTAGTGCCATCTTTGAATGGGATAAAAATGTTCATTATACACTTAGGATGTAATGTATCAATATAAGAGCATTAAAACTTAGAACCTTTATGAAATCAAAGTCTGCTTTTAAAGCCACTTGTTCTCTTTCAGTGTCTGACAAGAAAATCACATTTTTGTTTATCTTGCCTAAAAAATAAAGATGGAGATGTACTTATTGAAAGGAAGCTATACAGTTAGAGATTTTTTTTAAAGGACAGAATCAAGACAGAATGGGTTTCATGGAGAGTATCTATTCCAGGTTTGAGAAGCTGAAAGAAAGAAAGGAAAACGATTCAAGAAAATATGTTATTCTCAGAGTCAAGGCCATCTAGTTGAAACTTCTTTTTCTGAAGGCAAGATAAACTGGGTAGACGCAGGGATGCAGCCAGCCATCTCTGCAGGTCATGAGCTGTGTGGCAGCCACCACTTCAGACCACTGCCCCTGTGGGACACCTGAGTTCTTTCTTAACAGCCCTGGAAGGGGACTATCAGGAGGTCCAACTACTTGTCCCAGTCCCACTACTTTTTCAAACAGCCCTGCTAAGCAGCTCAGATAGCTCTCCTCTCTCTCACCACATGCAGCATCCTGTCAACGTTCCCTCCTATGTCACAGCTCAACAGCAGCAACTGTGTTTTGCTGGGGTCTTGAGATGGGGTCTTGCTATGCTGCACAGGCTGGTCTCAAACTCCTGGCCTCAAGTGATCCTCCCACCTTGGCCTCTTGAGCAGCTGAGACGTACAGGCATGAACCATTGCGCCCGGTTAAGAACGCATATAATTACCCTCCTCTCCATATGAATTGTCCAAATATGATCTAATGTGGTGATGGACGTACAGAGTGGATGGGGAGAAAAGGAAGGAAGGGTAAGAAAACAAGATCAGGCTTCACTAGTAACATTAGCAATGGCTGAAGTTCTCTGAGGGTGGAGCATGAAGAATTATGAATCAGAAATATTCTCTTCTGAATCAGAAGAGAATAAACCAAAGCCGCCAGAAAACTCTGAATGGACAGTCAGAGGAGCCAAATAACCTCCCTGGCAAAACAACTTGACTTTCATTCAACTGGTGGAAATAATACTTTAACTGCCAGAGGTTTTTTTTTTGTTTTTTTTTTTTAAATCAAATTTTTTGAAAAATTTAAAGAGGTTATAATACATACATATGGTTCTAAGGTTCTAAAAACATAAAAGATATAAAAGTGAAAGCCCCTCACAACCTGATCCTATTTGCACAGGACCCCCCTTGCCCTCTTAACCACTGGGGCTGGCTTCTCAGGGGCCCTTCCAGAGTATCTCCATGGACATACAAGAAAATACCAATACAGACTTCTCCATTACTACCACCCCCCTTTTAAAAACACAGACGGCAGTACACTAGACACAGTGTTTTGCTATATCTTACACGTTGTTGCCTTGCTTGTACATATACATGAGATATACATTGTTATATCTCATGGTTATTCCTTTGACAATATCTTAGAACAGCTCCTCTATCAGAACACAGCTTCCTGTTCTTTCCCAAGGATGCATGGCAGCCAAGGGCTATGGGAGGATTGCACTGTAATTCATTTTCCAGTCCACACCGGAATACACACTACTATTCAGTGACTCATCAATATGACCAACAATGTAGTGACACATAATCCTGACTTCTGTTACCCCACTGCTGTCAAATCTCTGTAAGTTTCCAAAGGACTTATAGCCTGGAATAGTTCTAACTGAAGACCACTGGATTGGATGTTACCAGTCAGCCAGGGTGTTGCTGAGTTCCTCTGAGGAACTCAGGAAAGACTTTCTCTTTCTTTTAACCACCACCCTACCAGATCCTTCTCCCATCTTTGTTTAAAAACATTTGCATCTTGTCTCCCCTCAGAAACCCTCTCTAATCTGTCCCTCCCCTCAGCTGTGTCCTGCAGTCTCACTCCCATCACAGCCTAACCTGCCTGCACCTGCTGTCTCCACCTCTCTCTCTGTACATCATTCTTCAACCCATTCAACTGGGACCCAGAGTCAACATGGCCAGAAACCTTCTGAGTCTAGAGAAATAGATGTTGGATGATTCTGAACCTACGAACCCGGGGGAGCAGGAGAGGGGCTTCCACAGGGCGGCCTGGAGTAGCTGAAGGAGGAGGTGAGGGAGAGACACCCGGTCTCCTCCAGGGTGAGCCTCCCAGTGGAGATGTGCACAGCCCAAAGCGCACATCTAGATCAGGGGAGGGAAGATAGGGTTGGAGAGAGGTACTTGGGGTTGGCGCCAGAAGTGGTTGAACTGACGGTATGAGCTCCCAAGGGAAGACTGAGACAGAGAGTGAGCCTGCTGAAGCCAACTGGGAAGTGCTGGGGAGAGCCACAGGCAGAGCCAGGAGGCAGCAGAGAAGCAGAAAGGCAATCAAAACTGGCTTCCTCAAAGGAAGGAGAGCAGGCCACAGCAGTGACGATGTGTCTGCAGGGGCATGTGCTGCAGAGGTGGAGGAGAATGTAGAAGAGGTAACGTGGGGGGACATGAGAGGCCATTCGTAAATGTGGGCAATGCTTCACTACGGCGTCAAGAGCGGAAGCCAGACCATAGGTGAAAGACAGCTAAAAACCAATCAATAAAAAACACACATGTGCAGGTCCCAAGATGTTAAAAGTGCAGGTGAGGAGACACTGCCACTTAGGTGAGGGCCGATAGCAATGATTTCTCTGCCTAAAAAGAGATCACACCAGGAACAATGTTGTGCAGAGGCAGGCAGAGGCCACGTGACACGGTGGTGGCATGTTGGGAAAGGAGACAGTTGTGGAGACTCTGGGCCTTCTCAGAAGAAGGGGGTTCCTTCAGACTACACATGCCAGCAGCTAGTAATGCCAAGCGAGAGCTCCTCAACCTGAGCGGGATTTTTAATCACTGCTGTATCAAAGCACAAAAAGAAGCATCCTGGCAACACAGGGAAGGGCTGGTGCCATGGCCCAAATGCTGTGTCTCACCCAAATTCCTGTGGTGAAATCCTCACCGAAAAGGTGATGTTCTCAGGAGGTGGGGCCTTTGGGGGTGATTAGGTCATGGTGGTGGAGCCCTCATGAATGGGATTAGTGCCCTTCTAAATGAGGGCTGAGACCCCTGGGCCTTCTGCCATGTGAGGATGCAGCAAAAAGTTGCTATTTGTGAACCAGGAAGTGAGCCCGCAGCAGACCCTGAACCTGCTGGCACCCTAATCTTAGGGTTCTCTCCAGAACTATGAGAATAATTAACATAATAATTCTGTTGTATATTTACGAGCCACCCAGTTTATGCTGTTTTGTTATGGCAGCCCCAATGGCTACGACACCTGCCTCCCACCAGGATAAAGCTGACTGGCTTCAGGTCTGCTCTCCCCATCTCTGACTGCTCTTGCTTTCAGTGTCTTTCCTTTCTCTATGTAAAAGGCACACATTCCTTAAACTCTCCAATATAAAGTCCATGTAGCCTTTATATCTAAGCCTTAGGAAAAGCTCAGCATTTTCTTTGAGGCAACAGTGCCTACGGAACTATCTGTGGTTCTGCAAATTTAAAAATGGATTCATTTTGGCTCATGCTGACCAAGACCACTGAACTTGGCCTTCTGCCTCCTGTGTTAAAACTGTGTTGGCTCCTAGTGCCAGTGAGGTACCTGCTCCTTCAGACTCACCACACCCCATGCCCAATGTAATTCCTGGCACTCCGTTACTCATCTGTGCAAGCATGTGACACTGAACTCTGTACTACTTAGGTAGAGAAGTCTTCACAGCAGGATCAAATCCTGCAGTCACAGATTACCAGCACTGAGCAAGATTTACCCTGATCATCACATATGCCCACCACTCAAGACAATCGAGCCACAGTGTTCTCACACCATCCAGGGTTGTGCCCAAATCAGGACCTTTGCACGTGCTCTTCCATCTGCCTAGAACACCTATGACCTGGAATTCAAATGGCCAGTGTCTTCTGCTCATCTGGACGGCAGCTAAAATTTCAGCACCTCAGACAAGCCTTCTTGGACCTCACATCTTAAGGCTGGTCCCTCCCAACAGCACTTCATATCACCCTGGTTTGTTTTCTTCAAAGCACCTCTGAAAGTTATTTCTTTCTCATTCTATTTTTATTTATATTGTATCATCTATGTACTCCACTAAGCTGTGTAAGGGCAGGGTCCTCGCCTGTCTTATCCACTCATGTATCCCTGGTGCACACAACACTCAGTACATATTTACTCAGTACACTCATGGAAGGGACCTTCATGTCCCTTTAGTCCAGATCCCTCAGTTTAGAGACGAATAGCTAAGTGACTGGCCAAGGGTCACACAGCTCATTAACTCAAGCCAAGCCAGGGATGGTAAGCTCTAAAATTCAGAGCAGAATTAGCTGCTAATGAATAAACAAAAGGTAAATACTGAGATTCAGAAAAAAAATCCCCCCCCCCTCCAATAAACTGTGGAAATTAGTGCGACTCCCCTGGAATACCAACTCTCATGCAAACACAGGGGTACAAGTTGCCTCTCTGAACTCAGAGCTCCTTACAGATTTGGGTTCAGAGACTATCAAGGCTTTCCTAGGATTTATTAACATAAAATCTGACTGGGAAAGAAACCTATTTTGGTATCTCTTCCAATAATTCATTTTATTTTAATATGTTGAAGAGCAAAAAGGATACCCTCAAATACATATGGTGAATCTGTTAAATATCACTGCTTCAAAAAGTGCAAGTCTCTAACAATGACTTGTGAAACTCACTAGCCATCTTAAGAAAGCAATGTCTCTGCTTCTTCACCTGCCACTGAAAACTAGGAAACTAAATAAAATACACAAAACAACTGTGTGCAGGCACAGGACCACAGGCTGCGCGGGGCAGTGTTCCCAGAGTGAAAAGAGACAGATATGGTAAGCCTAACAGTCCATCCGCCTTTCCGCCGAGAACAGCTGCCACACT